CATTATCCTTCTTACTACCAAGGCACCACCGATGCTTCTTCTTCCCATTCTATGTTGTTCCAACCTTCTAATGTAGCGGCCCACCCATCAACGTCTCATTACAACCCAAGCAACACAAGTGGGCCCACATCAGAATCCTCACCGCCCGGTTTGACCAAGACTTACCAGTACGACAGCAATTACCAGCCTACCCCTGATAAAATATCAGAGGCTCACAAGGCTGCGAGGTTTGCCGTGGGAGCTTTAGCATTTGATGATGTTTCAGTTGCCGTGGATTACCTGAAAAAATCACTTGAGCTTTTGACAAATCCCTCCGCTGAGAACTGATTGATGGTTGAAGTCCATGAAGAAGAGAGTTCGAGCTATCATGGCATGGTGGGTGGCTTTGAGATTTCCTGATTTGATAAAACATTTGCTTTAACTGTGGATTCATATCCATTTGAATGTTCATATCAATTATATCTTCGGTTGTCATTTTAAGAGTGCACGTATGATACTTGCATATACATAAATTCAAAAAGGAAGCAAAACATATCTGGAATACAGTACCTTAACAATGTACCTAATGATTTTTATTGAAGTCGGGGTAATTAGATTCTGGGTACTAGTACTTGAACCCTAGTAATTCGAACATAGGTTAAGTATACCCCCAAAAAAAATTAAAATAGATTTTAATGTAAAATTGATGAATGGAATGTGTCAATTAGAATCTTGTATTGGAGTTTTGGCATGGGATGGCGGTGGATCTATCCGTCAAAGACTTCTTGATTAACTAGCCTGCCATCGGTAATATTTTCAAACCCGCTCTTGCCTTGGCGGGTCAAAAATTTAGTTAATATTGTTTTGGTATATATTCACTTTTAACTTTTTTTAGTCATTCAGTATCAATCTTTGATTTATAATTTAAAAAATTGCATGGTACTCTGTATATTAATTAGATAAGGTAATATATTAAAAGCACCTGTTTATACATTAGAAATCATCCTAAATAGAATTAAAACATAGAGAAAAGTACCAAAATTAGATTTTCATATTTTTTTCCCGGAATAGGATTTTGCACTGTGGTAATGTGACTTTGCATTGTGGATTTGTGGTAATGTGGCAGTGTACATGTGCAGATTACTATACTTTTTTGGTAATGTATATGACCATGTTTGGTAATGTAAGTCTTATTTCGGAAATAAAAACATGGAAGTCCTATTTTGGTATGTTTCCAATGTTTTAGTCCTATTTTGGTCTTTCTCCCATTATACATTCCCAACCCATTAAGAATGTAAAATTATTATTCTCACGGGGAATGAACTTTTGACCTCTCATATGAGAGAATCACTATCATGCCGTGCCGCTCGGTCCATAAAATTATTAAATCTAATTGGAAATATTCTTTTGGCACAATATATGATACTCCCTCCGTCCCAAATTATAATGCTTGTTTACTATTCACAAGGTCAAACTTCATATGATACTCCCTCCGTCCCAAATTATAATGCTTGTTTACTATTCACAATATATGTAATTTTTATTTTTTAATTATATACCATTTGTCATATAAAATGGTTTGAAAATAATTTTAGTCAAACATCGTAAACCGAAACAGGCGTTATAAAATGGGACGGAGGTAGTAAAAAAAAATCAACACTTTGAGAATTCTATACCATTATGTAGAAACAAATGTTTTTGTAAGACATAAATTTAAGGGATTTATTTTTTATTCTTAATAAAATAGATCACATTTAATTTAATCCATCTAGATCCCATCGATTCAGATCAGATTGGTCAAAAATATTACTCCCTCCGTTTTTTAAAAGTGTTCCTATTTTGACTTTGTGTAAAAATAAGGAAGTGTTAAATTGTAGTTGACTTCCAATTTTGCCCTTGATGTGATGGGTAAAAGTAAGATGTGATGGATTGAGTATTAGAGAAAAAGTATGATGTGATAGGTAGGGTATGAAAAAGTAAGGGTAAAGTGGTTTTTTAAAAGAAAGTAGAAGTGTTTTGTTGGAAGTAAAAAAAATGAAAGAGGAAGAGTTTTTGAAAACGGATGGAGTAAAAAATACAGAGTAGTATTATAGTTTCTCTATGATTAAATACTTCGTAAAATAAAAGGTTGTGTTAGCACCATTTCTAGCACAATTACCGCAACATCTACTCACTCCGTTCTAATAAAAGCTTCCTAGTTTGACTTGGAGCCAAAATAAGAAAGTGTTAAATTATACTACCTCCGTCCCATTTTAAATTGCCTGTTTGCCTTTTTTCTCCGTCCCAAAATAAGTTGCCTGTTAGTTGTTTTCGTAAACTTTTAAAAATAAAATACCTAAACTACCTCTAAAATAAGTCAATCTTCTCCACATTATATTCTCATTCATCATCATCCCTCCTAAAAAGTATTGACAATTTTGAAAAATCAACTCTATTTTTAATTTTCCTTAAATATGCCCAAAAGTCAAAACGGACGATTTAAAACGGGACGGAGGGAGTAGTTGACTTCTAATTTTGCCCCTGATATGATGTGTAAAAGTAAGATGTGATGGATAGATTATTAGAGAAAAAGTATGATGTGATATGTAGGGTACGAAAAAGTAAGGATAAAAGTGGTTTTTTAATAGAAAGTGAAAGTGTTTTGTTGGAAGTGAAAAAATGAAAGAGGGAGTGTTTTTGGGAGTATATTTTTAACATAATTAGCGAGGATTATACAAATGTTATTGTGTTTGTAAGATAACGTCCATATTTTTCCCAATTATTGGTATTGTCAACAAATTTCTCTTCTACATCTTTAACGAATTATCCAATAGATTTTTTGTTTCATAAAACAAATAAATCTAAAATAAATGTTACTGGGTGTATTAAATATAATACTTAATATTAAAAACAATAAAATTTCAAGTGACAAGTAGCCCCCTGTGACATTTCCAACCAAAAACTCGATCTAACATACCATCTATTTTTTTCTAAAGTGTTTCCTAGATCTCTATACTTTTTGACCGGTGGATAAGTAGTATTTTTAAAGAACGATATTCTATGCCATGCCTGTGAAGGGAGTGGGGACAAATGTTTCTACTGGAAAAAACTATTGAAGGTGAGGGAAGAGTTTAAGGTCAGCCTGTGAAGGGAGATTATACTATTCAGGAAGGTTATAAGTGGGTTATGGGAGAGAGATCTAAAGTGGCATGGGCTAATACAGTTTGGAACAATTGGACCCAGCCGAAACACCAAATAGTGGTTTGGCTAATCTGGAAAGGGAGACTACAAACAAGAACCAGGTTGAGCAAATTCATGCAACTGGATACTAGATGTGGAATATGTGAGAGGTATGAAGAGGATCTGGACCATTTGTTTTGTTCGTGGACCATTTGTTTTGTTCGTGCCAATACGCCACGGAAGTGCTTAGTGAGGTATTTAAATGGATGGGAATGGACATTAATGTTCATACACTAAGAGAGGTGGAGAAGATGATGGATGCTTGCAAGAGTAGAAAAGAAAGAAAAAGCTAAGGGAAGCAACATTCAACGCTTGTTGTTATGCTATATGGAGAGCTAGAAACCAGATTATCCATGGGAAAGAACCCATCTCGGCTAATGAGTGCATTGAATACCTTAAATTCCAAGTTTATACTTTTGTAATTCCTAAATCTAAGTAGCAATAAGGAGGGCGCAGGAATGATTGTTTAGCCAAGAGCTAAGTTTGTATTGATTCCTACGGAATAAAAATTTGCATTTCGTTCAAAAAGATATTCTATGCCATCTCCGGTTTTGAAAATTTTAAAATATACATAGTTTGACTTAAGATGTACAGGGATCGAGGAAGCACTTTTAAAAATGTAGGGATCTAATAAGTGAAGGGAAAAAAAGAGTTAAAATAAAAAAAATCAAAGAAAAATGGACGGTATATAAGAGTTTTGGCCGGAAAGTCACCGGAGGAACTATCTGTGTAATAGTTAGAAAGTATTGGGATTTGATAAGCACTTAAAATAATTTAAGCACATAGAGAAAAAATTTCGTTATAAAAATTTTTTAGTTAGGGACTTAGTAAGACTTTTTCCCATTTTTACTATCTCCAACACTTATATACAAATACTATGGTAGTATGATGATCTATGATGTGATCTATTCTGATCTGATGAAGGATGAAACCCACCCAGCTCCTTATTATGACAATTGCAAGTGATTTAGTAAATATACAGACAATAATTATATGAGTTTGTACGCAAATGAATATTGTCTATATATCTATGTATAAATCGTCTATGATTGTGTTGGGAAATTTGATCAAATAATCAAGAAAAGAAAAGAAATAAATTTAAAAAAAAGAAGACAGAAAAAAGAAAAAGAAAGTAAAGAGAAAGGTAATGAATGGGTCTACACAAGAATATCAACGGAAAAAGTTAATGGGTCTTGGTGAGTGTGGGAGTAATTGGTATTTAGTTACTAGTTGAAATAGATCTGGGCATAGGGTGTGGAAAGATATGTTTATGAGTGTCTGGAATTTAGTCTTATAAACAAAGAGAGAGTTTTGTATATTGTCCTAAAATAGTAGAAATATGATATTTTTCTCTCATATAATATTATATTCTTGTGTTTGTCTTTTCATTTTTCTGGTGCTCTCAATATTTTTAGTATCTTACGCGCTTAAAATCCCAGCAGATGGTATCAAAGCTTGGTTGTTTGCGCTGGGAAGGAGGGATTTGTAAGCGGTAAAAGGAGAAATTTTGAGAATCCAAGGACTGGCCGGTATGGTGTTAATTCCATATTGTGTTGGCATTATTTTTTGACAAACGAATAGATTTGTATAGAATTATTTGTAGCTATTTTATTTAAAGTTGGAGTCCTAGTGTGTGTAGAAGAAGAAAAAGGAAAGAGAGCTTGAATAAAGAATCCTAACCCTACTTGGTTTATTATTTTTGAAAAAAAAGCTACAGTTGAAAGATTCCTGTTTGAAGTCTATTAGGGTTACTCTTAGAGCAACTCCAACGCAGCTGGTAAATGCGAGCAAAGTGTTAAAAATAAAAGATAAAGCTTTTACTATACACAAAAAACATCTCCAACGGGTAGTCTATTAAATAGACTACAAGCTATTTCCTCCTCCTCGTCTTTCATATATAGAATTCACTGTAGATAGTGTATACACCTATTTGCTTGGCTGGACGGACGAAAAACTCTGGAACACTCATCTGTGTTGCTCTTTTGTTTTTTATGTAAGCACTTCTCTATTGCTTGATGGGAAGAAGAAGAACTAGGCAAGAAGTATGTCTCTTTCTCGTCGCTCCTCTACAGGCAAGAATTCTGCAGCAACGTTTTTTTATTTTATTTTGCATCCCTTCAAATTAAAGAAATTAAAGCTTATGAGATTCATCTAGGACTCTCCTATTCTGAGTTGGGTACCTCTTTCTAGATTGATTCATTGGTGTTTCTAGATTTTCGGTGATGCACAAAACATGTTTGATGAAATGTTCAACTCAAAAAAATATGAAGAGTCTATATTATACCTGGTGTGGTTGGAAAGCATCAAATATATTTGCAAGCTAAAACACTGTTTACAAGCTATTTGGGTTTATAGCTTACAAATTTATCCACTTCCGGTTGGAGTTGCTCTTACCCTATATATTCTACATCTCCCTTTACATTGGTGTGCCGAAAAAAAAAGAAAATACCGCTGATCACATGCCGAGACAAGAAGAGTGGCAAAGAGAAAATACATAAAGAAAAAAGTGTGGCGGAGTAGTTTTGCAAGGCAAAGCAAGAAAGAAAAAGAGGCGCACTATTCGTAATGAAAGTGTAGCATCTTAGTCGGCATAGGAAATAAGATCAGAGCTTTAGTGCCATAAGAAAAAACTACATCGCCGTCCTATTTGTTGAAGTCACAGAGATCTTCAAAGCAAATACAGAGCAATACGAAGTGTATTGTCAATAGGCACCGAGGCTAGGTTTGCTGATGAAGCGGTAGGCCGGCAAGGAGATTAATTCATCTCCATACTATACGATGGGCCAACATCCAGCGGGTGGCCCAAATACCTTACCCAGAAGGCGCCGGGTCAAGCATGTTGTGAAGGCTTGAATCTGGACCGGCCCAAGACGCGGGGCCCAAACCAACCTAATTCAAGAGACAGATGGAAGAGTCAATCTACGTGAGGAGACTCAGCTGAAGGCGGGAACTTAGCCGGAAAAAGGAGATCGCGCCATTGGTGGATAAGGCTTCCTTTTGGTTGTGAATTACCTTAATTACTCAAGAAACCATTTATAAATAGAGGAGACCCGAATAGGGGATCCTCAAGCTGAATCAAGCTAATAGTACACACACAATTCTCGAGTTCTTATTCTTATTTTATTTCTTGTGATCCATTCTTCTGGATTGGACATTCGGTGGATTTATTGTCCATCAAATTGGTGCTTTCATTGCCTTTAGATCTGTAAAAACTTATAATTTTTGAATGCCTTGGTGTTTTGATACAATATTCCCCTGTTTGCCATTTTATTTTACTTGCCGCATGCCTTTGCTTTCTTTGTGCTTTGATATTGTACTCTTTCTTTAAATTGACCCACTCCGTTGATGTGGGTGGGCCTTCAATCCGAGCCCAACTTCTATTTCTAGCCCCTCTGTGTGACTAGGCCCACTCTTGTGACCTGTTGTCGTGCCGCCCAACTGGTCCACTGCCCTACTTACAGCCATTGATTGGACCATTGCGCTGTTCAAGGCTGCTTTATCGGTTCAGCTGCCTTGGGACTTGATCATATCTTCGGTTTCTTTACCCAGGGCTCTTTATAAGCCCCCCACACTTCGTTTGATTCCTCCATCACACACCTTCTCTTCTCCATTTTTCACCATGTCTGAAGAAATTCCTACTCCCTTGAATCTTTTCGATGGGCCATCCACTTCTTCCCCGGAGCCTGCCTCTTCCCCCAAGTCTGTTAATTCCAACGATTGGGGGGGGGGGGGCTAGACTCCTACGAATCCTGCCGCCGGTTGCCTCGTCGGAGGTGGCCCTCGGTTAAACCGCCGCCCACTCCACCAAACCCTCATGATTCCATCTCCTTTCTTTTTACCATACATGTAACACCCTAATCCGTCCAGGTCTGCAGCCCGTATTAAATTGGTAATCGTAAAATTTAAAACTTTTCAAACACTTTTATTTATCACAATAATATTTTTTGTAACATATACAGTGCGGAGTTTTCAATATTGCGGAAGCTTAACAAATCATAATTACAAACATAATTTGTTTATGTACTTTAATTCAAAACCATCACATCCATTCCGACAATCTCGCCTCCGTCTGCCTCCAGAATCACGTCACATCATTCTTTCTATTAACCTGCGTGTAGCAAATAAACATACTACACGCTCAGCGGTGAAGCTGAGTAAGCATATCTAATGTGTCGAACATCTATATAAATTGAACCCAAATTCATAATCAAATTATTTGATATCATGCACAAAGTATTCAGTTCAAATATACAATAATTAATTTTCAACATTCGTCATTCAATATTCATATTCAACATTCAACATCCTCATTCAATAATATCCTTAAACTATTCTTAGTCTAAGGCCAATCTATTTGATGTTTACCAACTCTTAAACTAGTTCTAGTTTAAGGTACTTCTATCCAACTCTTAAGTTAGGTCATTAGTTTAAGGTACATATATTCCGATTGATTTACCAACTCTTAAACTAGCTTTCGCTTAAGGTACAAATCCAGAAAACCGAACAGTAGGATACTAACTGTCGGGTTGGGTGGTATCCCCAAACGAGTTCCTCTAGTTTGGTTATGGATCCCGTACGTACGTTTTTACCCAAGGCCACCGAATATACGTTTTATACTCACAAGGCCCATTCTAATCAGAGGTCTATCTTAGAGGTCTTCTAAGTAGCCTTAACAATATGATTCATTAATTCATTATTCTCAACTTAAGAATTCATGATCGTCATTCAGAGTATTCAACATAATTAATTTATCATAATCAATAGTCAAACAATCATAAAATCTAATAACAAATAGTGGTCTAGTATCGAGTGTTAATACCCGAACTTACCGTCATGCATCACATTATGTTTTTATATGTCAAAACATCATTTTATTGTACAAAATCATATTTATATTGTCTATAATTAGTTGGTATCAAAAGTAGGATTTTAGAGCATAATTTGAGAAATATTTTTCGAAGCAGTAACTCGAATTGAAGTTGATTTAATATAAAATAATCTATTTATATGTATATATATATATATATATAATGTGGAAAAATCGATTATTTAATGAATAATAATCGATTAATAATTAAAAATCGATTTATAATTTATAAATAATCGATTATTTAACTAAAATCGATTTATAAATTATAAATAATCGATTATATAATAAAAATTGATTTATTTTAATAAAATAATCGATTATGTTTTTCTGACTTCGAGCACCTCATCTGAACAAAGTTCTAATCGATTCTTAGGAGTAAATAATCGATTTGCGGCTACTGTTCATCATCTTCTTCCTCTTGTCAGTTTCGAGTATTATCATTTTTAATCACCAAACTTCAATTAAATTATATAGAAATGTTCTCCAAGGTTCATAAATTATATAGAAATGTTCTTCAATTAACATCAAATTCAAGGTTTAGGTGGTGTGAATAAATCAATTTTGAAATACCTAGTATTTGTTCCTTTTGAAAAATTAGGCCTTTTGAAAGGCATTGTGATTTTGGCAGTGTTAAGATTATGTGTTATGGTGTGGGCAGTATGAAGATTAAATGCCTAAATGTTGTCCTTCATTTTTAGTTTTATTTATTTCCTTAATTCTTAATATCTGAATTTGGTTCTTATCCTTAAAAAAACTTTGCATGTCAAAAAATTAAAAAATAAATTTACCTAAAATAATCCATCCTTTCATTTATTTTCCAAAAATATGTATTTTCATAAAATCCAGTTTAGTGGCCGTTAGTTTTTTAACGGCGACCCAAAACTTGCACACATGCAGAAAGTTGAGATTAATATGTATTTGTTTAATATTCTGAAGTTTGCAATGTGACTAAAACGCCTATCATGTATATATATACGATGTGTTTTTGTATTCACCACCTTCATTAAATCCAGCATTTTCATCGCATATTAGGTTATACGTCTATTCTTTGAGTTCATTCCTTTATTTAATTTAATTGAATATTTTCTCTTTTATTATTTAAAAGGAGCATCACAGATGGGTCCAAATTTGACGATATTGCTACGTGTTGTCGTGTTGATGGGACATGGGATACTCATGGAAGCTTTATATTGTGGCAGTGTAGATATATCGTGACAGTGTAGATATATTGTGGCAGTGTATATA